CTACTGTGGGTTTATTCCAAGACCCAATTTCATCTTCACTGGTTTCCTACAGGAAACCAGACCAACTTCCTATTATTTTATTTTCCTTACTTTTAGCATACCATAGCCCACATCAAATTAACTGGAAGTGAGAGTGATAGAAGACTTTACTCCACACAAAGAGAAGCCAACAAAAACAATGCCCAGTCTAGAAGTCACGGATTCAAAATTAAGTACAAAGTGAGCTAATATTAGAAACTTCCTTCAGAAGAACACCAAACAATAAGACATTTATTTTAATTAATCTTGTTGCAAGCATTCCATTGTCAGAATGAACATTTTTTTTAAATGTTGTCTATGAATACAATAAATAGGACAAAGGTTACTAATACAGAGAAATTAATTCTAAGGAATAAAATATGTACTTTCCAGCCGGACCGCCTAACAAGCTACTAGGAAAACAGGCAGACAACTGGAAGCCCAAATGCAGAGCCTGGACTGCTCAGGGGACAAAGCAGTACCCCAGATGCTGAGCACAGTCAGCACCTCCCAGCTTTCATCCCACCTCTTACCCATGTCCGTGAATCAGCGTTTTTTGTTTTTTTTTTTCAAATCAGCCTGTCTTTAGATCACAAAATAAACAGAGGTACAAAACATGGGATTTCAAAGACATGCCAACTATGGCTTGCACTCATTCTATTTCTCCAAAATATTACAAGTACCTGAGAAGTATTTAGGCTCACAGACTACACACTGCCTGAAAAAAAGAAATTTCTGAGCATGAGGAACTTTGGTACAAAGGCCTATCAGATTCTCTTCAGACATTATTCATTCTCACCATTCCTGAGTACAGATGGAATCTTGGGCTTTAAAAGCTCCTATAGTCATTAACTGGTGAATAAGAGGACTATTTTAAAACAAACTCAACAGTTGGTACATTAAAGGAAGAAAGCCTAAAAAGAATGCATTTAAGGCACATACTCTATATGGATAAATCAAGAAACATGAGACAGTAGAGCAACTCCGTCCTGAAAGTGTGGTCCCATGACCAGGGTCAAGCTCATCTGGACATGTCCTAGAAATGCAAGTTCACAGACCTAACTGATGCAGGTCTCACCCTGGGCCTAAGGGATCAGAGACTCTGGGGAGGGCCTGGCAACTGCAGAGAACAATGATGAATGCTTTATCTGTCAGATTCTGTCATCCGACCAGGAAATGTCTAGAAAAGAATCCACTCAATTTGTGTTCCTCTCCGTACCCCTCAACTTCTAAACGCCTTGTGCTCTGGCTAACTCCTTTCCGGCCCATCACTAAAATGCCTGTTTAAAAATCACAAGTCAACTCTGGCCTCACTGACAAACCCAGTGACCTTTTCCTTTCTCCCCTGGACTCATCCTCTTAACTTCTCAATTGCCTCTCCTCTCCTTCCTTCTACCAAACCTACTCTTCCCCTTCCCACCTTCTAACCATAGGCATGTTCCCAAGGTTCGGTCTTCAGGCTCTTGTCCCTCTTTCTCTAGCCACTACCTGGCAACTCAAGGAATCTCAGAGGTGAGAGTCATCTTTGTACCTCGACCCTCATGCAAAACTCACAACATAGGGCCAGGGATTTAGCTCAGTGGTTTCGCCGCCAGCTGTGCAAGTGCAAGGACCCAAGTTCAATCCCCAGTACCAAAAAAAAACCACCTCACAACATATTTTAAACTATCTCATGACCCACATCACCTAAATGTTCTTCAAGTAAAACACCTTGTAATGATCCCCTGAGCACTGGACCTTTCTTTCCTCACTGAGGACCACACTGAGCAGGCAGAGGAGTCACCCCACAGGGCATCCTGTTCCACCCTCTTGACTCAGTTTCTAATGCCATCACTGTCATGCAACAGCTTCTTAGGTCTTCCCCAGCACCACCAGAAGTCTAGAAGACTCTGATCTTTAAGACCCCTGTACCAATATATCACCGCCCCCAGGCTACATAGACATAGTCCAGGGCCCTATCTTACCAGACCTCACATTTCTTCTCAGTATTCTTTCCACTCAGCCATCATTCCAGTGCTCATCATGCTGCAAACATGCCTGCATTTTCTCATTTCTAACTCTTGGCTTTGCATTATTATTTCCATTTCAAGTCTCCATTTCCTGCTTATCTGTAAATGCCCACCCTATACTTAAAAGACCAGAGCCAGAGCCAACTTCTCCTTCATCCCCTCAGACAGAAGTCCTCTTTCACTCTCCTCTACACATCTGAAGACCTCATGTAAGCCTCTGGCACATGCCCCAAATGGTCCTTCTACACTGAAACCCTCCCCAGCATGAGTAGATTTTCTACATCTCCTTATTCTTTACTGCATCATGTATGATACCTGTATCACTTATGCACTCCACAAATACTTGCCTGGGGATTAAATAGCCTTACAAACCTAAATTCTTAATTGAGCACCATTCCTATCAACTAACTGACCTTAGAAAAGCAGCCAAAAAAAAAAAAAAAAGATGGGTGTCATGGTTCTGAATCAGAAATTTTGGTGAATATAAAGATATAGCTTCATTGTTGATGCTGAAAAAGTATGATACCTGTATCACTTATGCACTCCACAAATACTTGCCTGAGGATTAAATAGCCTTACAAACCTAAATTCTTAATTGAGCACCATTCCTAT